TGTATAGCCAGTGAGATTCCAGTGGAGAGAACACATTTTTTCCTTTGCAAGTGGCTCTCAGTTGAAGATGGGCTTCTGGCTAGGGATGGAGCTCCTGTCTATTTCCCCTCTCAGCACTGGCACTCCGTTTGGCTTGGACCTGCACAGGCTCTGTGCATGCTACCACAGTCTCTGTGAGCTCATATTTGACTCAGTTTTGTTGTTCCTGGAGACACCTCGATGTCTTTCATCCCCTCTGGCTCTTACAATATTTTTGCCTTCTCTTCTGCATAGTTTCCTGAGCCCTGAGGGGCAGAAATTGGTGGAAACATGCCATTAAGGACTGGGTGTTCCAAGGTATCTCTCTCTCTGCACATTGTCTAGTCACGGGTCTCTGTATTAGTTCCCATCTACTGCAGGAAGAAGTTTCTCTGATGGGTGAGAGGGACACTGATCTACGGGCACAGGAGAATGTTACTAGGAGCCATTTTATTGCCACATTCCTAGCAGAACATAGTTTCATTTTCCCCTGGGTCTATGACCTATTTAGTCTCAGTTCCTTGGCCCCCTGAACAGAGGAAGGCATGGGTTCCATCTCATGGAGTGGGTCTTCAACCCCATTAGAGAGTGGTTGGTTACTCTCTCAATGTTTGTGCTACCATTGCACTAGGATATCGTGCAGGCAGATCACCATATTACATACTGAAGGATTTGTAGCTGGGCTGGTCTTTACCTTTCTCTCTGGTAGTGTGCAGAGTACCTCCAGTACCATGAACACTAGCGAGTAGGGGTGAAGTCTCTCGTTAGGCGCCAGCTTGGCTTCTCCTTGTTGGATGAGGTGTGTGTTACCCTCAGCAATAGGGTCTTGTCATCAGTTTGAGGAGAGCAACCAATATCCTTGGTAATAGCCTGAGACGTTTGGAAGTTTCCAGGGGGCTCCTTTGGCCAACGATTCAACTAGATACAACCCATTCCTGGCCCTGGATGTTTCCCTTGGTGGTATAAGATGTCTGGCTGAAGCGTTGTCTTCGCTGTTATTGAATAACTCATTACTCCATTTAGATTCCACATATATACATATAAATACATGTACATTATGTCTCTATAGTTATCAGGTTTCTATATGGCCCCTTCTGTGGCCCTGAGGGTTAGTTGCCCCTTTCTCACGTTCCCTCTCTTACCATCACCCCTTTTTTCTCCCCTTCTTCAACTAATCTTCCTGTTCATCTTCTCCCTTTCTTTCTATAATCATACATTCTATTTCCCCTTCCTTGGGAGATATCCCCCTCCACTCTCAGTCCCTTACTTTATATTTAACCTCTGTGGCTATATGAATTGTAGCAGGTCTTTCAAAGGCTTAAGAGCTAACATCCACAAATAAGAGAATACATTTATATTTGTCTAAGTCTGAGTTACCTTGCTCAGGATGTTTTTTTTTCTAGCTCCATCCATTTACCTGTGATTTCCATAATTATGTTTTTAACAGCTGGATAATATTCTATTGCATAAATGTGTCACATTTTCTATATCCATTGTTTTCTTGATAGTCGTCTAGGTTGTTTCCAGTGTTCCTCATGCCCCACATTCTCACCAGCGTGAGCTGTCATTTGTTTTACTGATCTTGGCCATTCGGACTGAAATGTTCTGACTGAAGATGAAATCTCTAAGTAGTTTGGGTTTTTTGTGTGTTCATTTTTGTTTTTCAAGACGGGGATTCTCTGTGTAACTCTGGCTGTCCTGGAACTTGCTTTGTAGACCAGGCTGGCTTCAAACTCCGAGACCTGCCTGCCTCTGTCTTCCTAGTAATGTTCAAAGTTGTTTTGATTTGCAATTTTCCTGATAATTAAGGATGTTGGACATTCTTTAAATGTTTCTCAGCCACTTGTGGTTCATCTTTTGAGATCTCTGTTTAGTTCTGTACCCCATTTTTAATGAGGTTATTTGTTGTCTTAACGTCAACTTTTTAAGCTCTTTTTATGTGTTAGATATCAACCTTCTATTGGATATGTAATTGGTAAAGATCTTTTTTCATTCTGTAGCCTGCCACTTTGTCCAAACTAATTACCTTAATTACCAAAAGAGGACTAGAAACAGAGAAGTAGAGGGTGCCTTAGAAACAAACTCATTAGCACTTAAAACCCTATATACGCTGACCACTAGGACACTTAGGCCTGGCTTGTCTTTGAGGAGCCCACACCTATGGTTTGAGACATGTCTTCCTTTCTTCCCCAGAGTCCCCCCCCAACCCTGTGGTTATGGCCTATGTTAAAAATTTCTTTATAATAAGCAATAACTCTGCTCTATAAACTAGTTCGTCCTGAAATCCTCTTCTGTGGTATAGTCCAGGGCCTAGTTTTACCTGATTTGTGATCCCCTAAAATAGTTAAAGAAAATTCTTGACTTTGACATGATCTCTGCGAGTCCTTTTAAAGAAGATGGGTGAAGCCGGGCATGGTGGTTCATGCCTTTGATTCCAGGCAGAAGTGGGCGGATCTCTAAATTCAAGGTTAGCCTGGTCCAAAGACAACCAGGGCTACACAGAGAAACCTATCTCGAAAAACCAAATCAAACAACAACAAGGGAGTTGAGGGGGGGATAAAATCTGGGAACCAAACTAAGGGGAGAGAGAGAGAGAGAGAGGGGGAGAGGGGGGGAGGCGCAAATTAAGCACTTATTTCAAAAATTCAAGAACACAGGGAGCTGGAAGGAAGAGGAAGAGGAGGGTTGAAGACGCCCCAGACTCTGTTTTTGTCCTGGTTCCACCACTGCCTGTCCAGTACTTTACAGCTGGGTGTTCTTTCCAGCCTAGAACTTTCAATTGTTTTAAAGGTTTAATTTTACGTGTGTGTGTTTGCCTGGATGTATGCACACTGCATGCATGCAGGAGCCCCCTTGGAACTGGGGTTCCAGATGGTTGTGAGCCACCACGTGGATGCTGGGAACTGAACACACCCCAACATGCAGCAGCAACTCTTCACCACTGAGTTGCTTCGCCAACCCTTTTTAAAAATTGATATTTTGTATGTATGGCTGTTTTGCCAACAGGTATGTCTGTGTACCATGCATGTGCCTGTGCCTGAGGCCAGAAGAGGGTGTTGGGTTCCCTGGAACTGCAGTTATAGACAGCTGTGGCTGCTAGGAATTGAACCTGGGTTTTCTCCCCACCCCACCCTGTCTTTGATACTAGGTTTTATACTGTAACCTAGGATCCAGCCTGGATCCCACCATATCCAAGCAGACTGGTCTTGAACTTGCGGCCCTGGTGCTGGGGTTGTGGTAGTGAACAGGCATACCTTTCACTCTGTTGCCACTGCTTCGGATTTGGTGTTTCCGTTATTTTTGTTTGTTCTTTAGAGGGTTATTTTGCTTGTTTTGAGATAGTCTCATAAGTCCAACCTGGCTTCAGTTTTGCTGTCCAGCTGAGGAGAGCCTGCCTACCCCCGCCTCCCTATTGGGATTACGGGTATGTATGCCTCTCCGAGTTTGCCTTCATCTCCAAGGCTGGAGAGAGCTGTGGCCTAGAGCCCTCCTCAGAGCATGGAGCCTGGCCAGGGGGTCGGATAGTAATGCAAGGTTCTCTGGCACCATGAGAAGTGGAGCGTGTTTTTATGTTTGTAAAAAAAAAAAAAAAGGGTACCGACCACTCAGGGGTGGGGGGCGGGAACTAGGGACATCCTGGCCTCTGATTGGTTGGAATTACAAGAACCGGGATCAGGTCAAAGTGAGGTTTGCATTCCAGGCTAGTGAGTGTTTTAGGCGTGTGGGTCCCTTTCTGAACTTGACAAACCTAAGAGTACCTTAGGGGTCGGTCTGTTCAGTGGCTGGGCCACAATGGGGATGGGAGTCGGGGTAGGGGCAAGGGATGTCTGGGTTAACTCCAGAGCTAGGGATCTGGAGGACTCAGTCTTTTTCACAAATGGGTTTTTGGAGACTTAGTTTTGGAGATCCGTGATCCAACAGGAGGTCAGCCGAAGAGCTTCAGGAAGCAAGGCTGGCAATAAGGCTTGCCGGCACGCTCCTGGAAGGAGCCTTTGGTGAGTGGGCGCAGGCAGAAGGTGCAGGTGAAGTGATCCGGATGGAAGCGGCGGCCCAGAGCAGACACACAGCGGCCAGTCACCGGAAGGCCACACGTGGCACACAGCGAACCACGCTGGGCATGGAAATGGTTCTCACACAGCGGGCGACCCTCGTGCTCAAAAAAGCTGCCCCCGGAGAAGGGCGCGAGGCACTCCTACCAGGAGGAATCGGCAAAATGAGCCAAAACCCTGAGCAGATAACCCACATGGGTAACTAACATCCACCTTAACCCTGCAGCCTCGCAGCCCGAGTGAAGAGCTGCTTTCAGAAAAAGTCAACCCAACTAACCAATGAATCGCCCCACTCTGGGCTCCTAGCCCACTCCCCGCAGCCACGCACCCTGCAGACGAAGCAGTCTGGGTGCCAGAGCGCGCTGAGTGCCGAGATGTAGTTATCCAATATGGGGCCTTGGCAGCCCTGGCAGCGCGGGGCGAACAGCTGCAGGAAGTCCCGCCGGCAGTAGGGGCGGCCCTCCCGCTCGTGGAAACCTGGGGGCAGGGACAGAAGATTAGGGCGGGACTACGAGATTCAAGAGTGGCAGCGGGTGTGGGTAGTAGGAAGGGAAGGATAGGGTCTAGGTCAAGGAGAGGGCGAGATGGGGTGGGAACCCATGGGAAGAGGGTGGGCCAGACAGAATAGAAGAAAGCTCTAGACAGGGGGGAACAGCTTTTAAGAGTGAGCTCTCACCCTCTTCTCCGAAGGGTTCCCCGCAACTGACGCAGCAGAAATGTTCTGGGTGCCAGTGGGTGCCCAAGGCGGTAACCATTTTCTGCAAGAAATGAAAAAGGACACTACTGTCGCCTTCCGTCCCTTCTTTCCTCCACCTCCCTCTGGGAATGGGGGTCGGGGGAAAGACCGGGCGGGGAGGGGAGTGAGGACAACAGAAAGTATATCTCTGTAGGGGGGAGAACTAACAAGGAATTTGGGGTTAAAGAGGGAAAACAGGAGAGGCAGGATGGGGTGGGGTAGCTGGGAGAAAGGTCAGCCTTTGGCCGGTCCTCTGCGTGAAACAGGCAACTGGGCGGGGCTCTGCAGAGCTTACGTGTCGGATGGGTTGGTTGCAGAAGCCGCAACGTGGGGAGAAGCGCTCGAAGTAGCACTCGGGGCAAAAGGGAGCCCCATCCTTCTCGAAGAAACTGCTGCCTCCCAGGGTTGTGGAGCAACCGCTGCAAAGGAAGTGCTCGGGGTGCCAGGCTCTGCCTAGAGCGGTAACCACCTGCGAAGTTGAATGAAGGTTTCTGTCAGTCCGAGTGGCTCACCGTTCCGTAGGTGCTGGGTGAGCTAAGGTTTACAGACCTGGCATTTTCCCAGTCTTAACTCTGGTAGATCAGGTTGCAAAAACCAAAAGTCCAGGGTGATGCAAACTGTGTTAGAGGTCCAAAGCCGGCCTTCCGGCTTCACTCCAGGGTCTGTGTTCACAAAGCACATAAGGCATAGTATATTGGGGCCCACACTCTTTCTAAGAGCCCACAAAAAGATTTAATTACTTTAAAGTTTATGTAGGGTGTACTTTTTTTTTTTTTGAGACAGAATCTTTCTAAACTGCCTGACTTCAGACTCCCTGTGTAGCTAGCTCAATCCTCCCAACTCTCAACCTCCAGGGTGCTAGAATTAAGGTATATACCACCACGCCAGGTAACAGAGTCATCGTTAGTCCAGCACACACACACATTTTAGCAGAGGAAGCGACCTAGGAAGACTGAAGAGCCCAGAGCCTCACAGAAACCATACTACCCTGCTTTCTGGTCGGTAACTCTGCTATGGGAGTCCGGTTTAATCTAAGGAGATGCTCTAAGCCGACCAGGCACAGCTATTCTGGGTCATGTTCACGCCGTCCATGATCCAAGAACTAGGACTCCTGGGCCAAACTCTGAAAGGGAAGAGAGAGCCTAGACAAAAGCAATAGGCTCTTGTGAAGATTAGGTGAAACAGGGTATGGAAAGGAGCAGTGTCTGGCACACAGTAGGGTCACACCGAATGCTAGCCAGGTTGCAATTATTATCCTATGGCTCGTCACTAAGAGTTTCAGTTTTCTCATCCATATATATATATGGTGCTAACGGTTAGTTCAACGGCAAGAGGTGTTTTCGGCAATTGTGAAGGCCCTGGGTTCAGCCCCTAACACACACACAACTTTTTAAATTAACAAAACATAAGACATAGGTGGGCATGATGGCTCACACCTGTGCTTCCAGCACTTGGGAGGCTGAGGTAGGACTGTGATGAGTTCCCAGCTAGTCTGGGGTAGAGAGTGCATTTCTGGTTAGCCTGGGCTACAGTGAGACACTGCCTCAAAAGATAAAATTGTAGTTTTTTTTAACACATAAATAATAATGTCCACTTCTGGTGGGCATAGTCACACATGCTGGAAATCCTAGACCTTGGGGTGGGTAAAGGAAGGACGATGGTGGGTTTTGTAGCCTGGGCTATATGGTAAGGTCTTATCTCAAAATTCCAAGGGTTGGGCTAGGGTTGTGTCTTAGGTGGAAGAGTGCTTGCCTAGCATACAAAAAGTCTTGGGTTTGATCCCCAAGAATTACAGATAAACTGGGAAGGGGAAAGCATGCCTATAATTCCAGTAGTCAGACTAGAGTTTATCCTTGAACATAGACTGAATTTGAGGCCAGCATGAGATACATGAAACACTGCCCCCCCCCCAAAAAAAAACCCTGAGAGTTAGGGTGCAGCTCAGTGACAGAGGGTCTATCTAGCACATGCAACAACTTCACAAGAAAAGCCGTTTCCCCTCCACAGGTCCCGTCCTAAATGGGGCCTCTGTAGTGCACCCTCTCCCCACAAGGCTCAGAAGTCATCACAGAAGAGGGCTGGGGAAGACTGCACGAGCCAGGAGCAGGGAGACTGCTGTGAATCAGAACATTCTCGACAAGACAGGATGTTGTACTCGTGAACGCAAGACAGCTGTGGCTCTTTCACAAGACCTCCTCACAATCAAGCTAGTTAAAATTCCTTCAAGGAAGGAGGGAGGCGCTCGCTTAGCCCAGCCTCCAGCAGAGGAGCGATTGGCAGTCGTGACCTGCGACTGGCAGGCAGTCGTGACCTGCTGGGAGAGGGTGCTTCTGTCTTCTCCAGGAATGTGGCTCCTGGCTGGTGCCAACGCGCCAGAGAATGGCCCTGCACTCAATCACATACCGGAAGCACTGACTTACTCAGTGGCTTTGGAAAAGATGACATGAAGTTGAGAGGAAGGTGGGGGCACTGGAAGGAATTAAGAGGGGGGGGGGTTAGACAGAACCAAAATACACTGACTATATGTATTAAATTCTCAAAGAATAAACAATATTTATACAGGGAAGAGCATGGCGTCTGGTTCCCGGAGGTGGCTGTGCAGGCATATGCCTCTGTTCTCGGGGCTTCACTTACTTGTCCAGCGATAGGTTTATTGCAGGAGCCACAGAGGCCTTTGGCCTGAGTGGGAACCCCACGGCGGCTGAGGTCGGACTGCAGTAGGCCCAGCATGGTGTCCAGACTGCCCTTGCTAGTCTGTCCTGGTGGAGAAGGGCTCCCCTCTTGGGTGGCATTTGCCGCTGGTGGCTGAGATGGCCCTGAGGCTGGAAGCTGCAGTGAAGAGGACATGGATGTTGAGTCAACAAGGCCACAAATTGGAAGCATCAGACCTGGATTGGTGAACCACAGGGTGACACCAGCCAAAATCCTTCCAGACTCACGTGGTTCTGGACACGGAAGTCAGAGAGCGATGCCATCAGTCTATCCAACTCCAGAGTGGCTGAGGTGGCTGAGGGCTTTGAGGGGACGGGCAATGGGCTGGGAGGGCTGTAGAGAACACAGTTGTATACCCTCAGAGCCTGCTAGCATGATGCCCCCCTAGTAAGTCAGACACCCAGGACCCACCACCTCCTTCCAAGCTCTGCCAAACTCACACACTGGGTGGGTTCTTGTCCTCAACTTGGTCCTCCTTCTCTTCCCCTTCAGCCATCTTACTAGATGGGAACTGAGACATTATTTCATCTGGAGAGGTGAGAAAATAACACGAGGCAAGAGGCCAGTCTCAGTTCACCCTCCCAGCAAAGCCTTCGTGTCCCTTTAACTGCTCCTTGGAGGTCTGTGTCCTTAGACTCTGCCCTGCTTTGCCCCGTCCCCAACCCATCAAGACTGGCTCCGTAACCCTGGTACCTGTGATGTTGAACTGGGTGGCATTAAGTTCCTGAAGCAAACGATCTAGCTCACAGAGCCCATTGCCCAAGACACCACTGGAAGAGGAGAATGGGGGGGCCACAGGAGCCACAGGTTTCGGTGACCGAGGCTTGCATACTGTGCTAGGGGACAGAAGGGAATGTGGGTTTAGGGAAGGGAATCCAAGTCCCCTCATCTGAACTTAATCTGGCTTCTCCATCTCCATGTCCCAGTCCCCAAGCCTCTCACCTGTAGAGATGGTCCTTGTCCCCAGAGGTTCCCGAAGGTTCTCCAGATCCTGTCTACAGAGAGTAGAGGTGTGTATGGAAGGACAGTCATGTTCCTTGCCTCAAGCGGACTCTGATTTCCCCGAGCCCAGACCAACCCAGACCCTGGTGACTGCCCCAGACCCCAGAATCTCATCTCACCTGTGGCTGGTGGCCATAGGGTGGGGGAGGTGTGAGTGTCTCTGGTGGGCGCTCTTTTGGAGCCCCTAACCGTGACATGTGTGAAGTGGTGGTCTCCAGGTCAGAGAGCAGGGCATCTGCAGTGAGAGGCCCTTGGGTGAGAGGTCTGGGGGGTGAGGGTGTCAAGGTCTTAAGTGTTTAGAGGATAAGGGGTTCCAAGTGGCAGTATTTGAAAAGATAGAAGCCGGCATTAGAGGCAGAGGCTAAGAACTCTAAACACAGGGCCAGGCTAAGGCAAAGAAGTGGAATGGTAGCAGGGGGTATTTATGACCAGACATCTCCCTCGACTTATCCTGGGAGCCAAGTACAAACCTAGTCACTTGACTCTTATTCCCCCCATCCTTCCTGATGCAGTTGAGATTGGCTCTTACAGAACCTCAGTTGTTCAATTGGCTGTATGCTTGACCCCCAACTTCCTGATTAAATGTTCTCTGTGCCACACTCACTAATTCTTCCCCATATTTAAACAACCTGGCCAACCTGGCTCATTTTTTGGTCATAATGGAGTTTCACCCAGTCCTCCTCAGGGGCAAGTGGTACTGACAGGGAGCTGCTTTTTGGTGGACTTCTTATCCATGTACTATTATTGAGGAGCGCCCTCTGCTGTTAGGTCCAGAAATCCCACCACGGGGAAGCACAACCTTACAGACCCAGCCTCCGCAAATAGAGAAGATAAGACGCCTGGGGTGTTTTGAATCTATGCGCTCCCGGTCCCTTTTCTCTGAGCGTCTAGGTAGAAGCCTTAAACTTCTTTCTGTCACCTTGGCACTCTCTGTCTGTTATTCTGTTTCTTGCCGTGAGGACCTACTGACCTCTGCTATACTTCGGAGCTCTTCTCTCTCCTTGAAACACTGGTGCCGGCTATCTGGCCCCTTTTCATCTCCGAAACTTGATGTCACACTCTCCTCTCTAGTCCGTTTTCCCAGTCTCGAAATCCAAGGATCCCTTAACCCCTTCCTTCCCAGAGTCTCTTAATCCAAGCCCTCCGTTGGTGTCTTAACGCCTGTCCGTTGCATAAACCGGGTTGAGGGAGCAGAGCCAGCGAAGAACGGAGAGCGCGGCGCTGCAAGCGAGCCAGGAAGGGAGAAGCTGGAAAGGGTACGTGGATTTGGGAGAGAGACGCAGGCAGGCAGAGGCAAGAAAATGGAGGAAGAAACCCAGGATGGGGGAAATGTGGGAGAAGAGGGCAGACGCAGGCAGGGGTGAGAAGCTAAGGGGATCCGGTCCCCACTCACCCAGGTCCTCCATGGCGGTGCGCTGGCGGACAGCTTGGGGCGAGCAGGGCGGGGGCCGTGTCCGGTGGGGGCGGGGGATGGGGGGGACGTCAGGGAGTTAGAAGCAGGGCCGTGACCATGTATGGAAGCCAGGACCCGCTGGGATACGATCGAGGGGGGAGCGATGAAGGGGGAGCATGGGGACATGAAGAAAGACAGCACCAGGGCCCACCCAACCAAGCCAGCGTTCAGACTCTGCTCAGAGGAGGCCACACCCCAGCCTTTGCCTCCGCGGCAGCAAGTCCTAGAAGCTGAAGCCAAGTCAGAAGTGGTTCTTCCATAGCTCCTGACTAACTAAGGAGTCTCATAAGTCGAAGTCCCCAAGCCCGCTCCTCCCAAAGCCAGCACCTGAGTTCTAAGCATGGCCCCCACTCCCACCCAGGGTATTTTTTAAAAAGACTTGTCTCTTGCAAAATTTTGTTACAGGCAGGAGTGGCATTCTAAGGATCTATCAGGCTCCCAAGTTATGACAGCCAGCCAAATAGAGATGGCAGGGCAAGAGGCGTGCACACTAAAAAATGTCTCACACAAAGAGCACCAATCCAGACTCTAAGGCAGGTCTTTCCCTGCAAAACATACCTGGAAACAGATACACAAAACAGAGAGAGCAGAACCCAGACCCAAACCCCAGGTAAACTCCCAGGACGGCAAACTGCAGGCAACTTGTAAAGGAAACCCTTTCCTAACACTGAGGTGATCTGAGCGCCTTCCACAGTTCTAGTCACTTTTCTGGCCCTTTTCTGGTACCGATGGAAGAGAAGAAAGCAAGCAGCTTTCTTCACAAAGACTCCAGTCACAAGAGTGACAAGTGTCCCTGTACGACTCCCTTAAAAAAAAGTTGGAAGCACCTGGAGATGGGTGTGGAGCGATGGCTGCTGTCTTACAGCCATCCTGGAGAGCAGATCTAAACAATGGACTATGTGACCTCAACCCAGGAACAAGCCAGAACCTGGAAAGTTTGGTAAAAAATACTGAAACCCAGCCTAGTCCTCCATGCCAGCCTAAACCAACCAGAAAGGGACAAGGCATAAGCACCTAAGTACATAGGATCTCACTGTGCAACCCTAGAACTCACAGAGGTCCACCTTCCTCTGTCTCCTGAGTGCTGGAATTAAAGGCATGGGCTGCTATACCTTAAGTGTACAGCCTGAACCAGGGAGGCTCAGGGACAGCAAGAGCCACCCTAACTCACCTTTCTGAAATGCCCAGACCCTGGCGGGCTCAGTCCAAGGCTCTGAGAGCCCAGTGAGGGAGCCCCTTCCTTCACCTCATTCTCTGAGCATGACTAAGTGAGGCCTCAGAAACCCTAAGAATACAGCAGCTCTCCCCTTAGGGAGGTGGCACTTTATTTTTTTTTAAACATTTATTTATTTATTATGTATACAATATTCTGTCTGTGTGTATGCCTGCAGGCCAGAAGAGGGCACCAGATCCCATTACAGATGAGCCAACATGTGGTAGCTGGGAATTGAACTCAGGACCTTTGGAAGAGCAGGCAATGCTCTTAACCTGAGTCATCTCTCCAGCCCCAGGCAGGTGGCACTTTAAAACTTGGCTTGAACCAGTAAGACAGCTCAGCAGGTAAAGGTACTTTTCTGCCAAGCCAAATGACCTGAGTCTGGAAACCATATGACAGAAGCAGTGAAAGAACTCTCTCAAGTTGCCCTCTGACTTCCACATAGGAGCCATGGCATGCACACACTCACACATAAATTAGTATCTTAAAGAAAAAAAACTGGCTTGAGATGGGAATGGATGCAGAGACTGGGAGGTCTAGGGGACAGTCGGAAGGCAGAACTGCTATGACATGCCACTATACTCGTTGCCCTCAGCCAAACCAGCCCAAACAGCCAGCTTCTGTATTTAGATGGGTGGCTGTGTCTAAGCAATGAGGATCCATAAACAGAAAGCTGACCTCCTCCGGGGGTCCAAAACTGTATCCCACAGAAAACCCACAATATCCCAGGCCTATAGTAACGGCTAGGCAATTATTTATTGATCTCGTAAGTCGAAGGATGGACCATATGAAAGCACGGGGTTCTTGGCAGGGGAATGGCGTACCCCCAGAGGAAAGCAAGCAGAAGCACCACACAACAGCAGTGTTTAAATCTCAAGTTTTTAATTTTGACACCATAGGTCTAGGTCAGACCAGATCCTGGGGCCCTGAGCTGTCTGTCCTCTTGGACTCCGTGCACAGGCTCTGGTGTAGGTTTTTCAGCCGTGGACCTTGAGATCTTCAGCCTGGGGCTCAGTTCCACTTGCTCGACAGTCCCTGAGGATAGCTCCTTCTGCAGTCTCCCCTCATGCCACGCTGAGAGAAGCCTCCCGTCCAGCCATCTCACCCCTGAGTGCTCTCCCAGGGGGGCCAACAGTTTATCCAAGAGCATCTGTACTATGACTCAGTCTCTGTTACCACAGCCAGCAAAGCTTCGGTGAGAGGCCCTGCCTCCTCACCTGAGGCTTCCACAAGCCCCATGAGAGCCAGGGCCCGTTTTCTAGGGCACTGCCCTGGCCCCAGCGTCCATCGTGCACAGTGGACAGCCAGCCGGGGCCGACCTAAGCGGAATACCTCACCCACTGACTCAGGGCCACCCTGGGGACCCAAGTGGATGCGGGCAACAGCCTCTTCTAGCTCCTCCTCTAGTGCAGGCAGCAAGAACCGGCCAGCAGCCTCCAGAGCTTCCTCAGCCTTGGAACCCAGCAAGGGCTGGCCGGGTGGGGGTATGGGCCCCAGAGCAGCCCCACAGCCTCGACAGCCATGCATATGATGTAGGACAGGCCACGCTGCACTAGGGGACAGGCCTCGAAGTGGCACCAAATCCATCTGGGCTTCAGCAAAGCTGCCGGATAGCAGGGCCCGGAAGAAAGGGGAGGCAGCAGCTGAAGCAGCCCGCTGAGCAGGGAGCCGGAGGCCTGAATCCAGAACAAAGTGCAGGTCAGGAGCTGGGAGAGGGGCTGGACCCAGGAGAGGTTCGTAGAGGCAAGGGGAGGGTGGGTCTAGCTCCGAGGATGTGGCAGGGACGAGGACTGGGCTCACGGTGGGAGACACCAGGGCTCGGAGACAGGAGAGGGAATCTGCGGCAAAGAAGAGGAAGAGCGGGTGTGGAGCTGGCTGCGTCAGCGCTGCGAGGAGGTGACGGAGGCCACCCTGGTCCAGGAGTAAGCGGCGCCACAGAGTAGGCTTCCTGTGGGGAAAAGGGGGTCTTTGAGCGGGGGTCTCGGGGCAGCACAGGAAAGGCGCAGTCTTACCCACGATCCCTGCAGGACACCCATCTCCCCCTCACCGGCAGATGAAGGGTAGGGTCAATGCACAGGCCACTCGGTCCTCAGGACTCCCAGAGAGCAGCAGGTGGGTGAGGGCACCTACTCCAAAGGGGGACTCAGCCTGAACAGTCAGGTTCTGCAGCAGCATCTCACCTGCAGGGACAGGTACAGCAGGTCAGGTTGGGGTGCTATGGGTAAGACAGGACTCTGGGTCCATAAAACAAAGGAGAGTAAACTCTCAGGGCAAGAAATCAACAGAGGAGTGCCAAGAGCACCGGTCAAGGACAGGCAAGTGGATGGCCAGGGTGCAGATCAGGGCCCCTAAGGAATAAAACAGCCTACAGTCAGGCCCAGAAGACAGGGTAGTCCTAAGATGAAAAATTTCAGTAGTAGAGCCTGAGAGGACACAGTGCCTCGGTCTGAGTTCCTGAGTGAGTGTGCCCAAGGTAGAAACAGGACCACGCAGAACCAAGAGGAGAGTGGGTAAAGAAACGAGGAAAGGTCCAATTCTACGGTACTAGGAGCCAAACCTGGTGACCAGGTTATTTGGGCCCCAAGGTTTGGACAAAGGACAGAACAGAACTCTCTGTATTCCAGGGCTATGGAAGAGACGGCAAAGTCCCCGGCCTTCCAGCCCCCCACCCTCAATGCCTGGGGCTGAGAAGCTTAGATGGTAGGCTGCAGAGAACGGTGAGGGCAAGTGAAGGAGAGGTTCCAGGATCACACAAGGTATGGGAGGAAATGGGCCTTTCGTGTGGGCGGGGACAGGGGAAACATACCCAGCTCTCGGTGCTGGCTTCGGTGTACAGGCCGGGCACATGCCATAGGCCAGTCATCTGGTGAGACACCGAGTACCAGCCAGGCACGCAGCAGCGCTGCGCCATAGCTGCGCACAAAGGCCTCAAGGCAGGCAGGGTTACAGGTGAGTCGTGCCAAGATGCGTAGTGCACGCGGGTTTGGTGGTCCCGGTGCACCCGTCACGTAGGCCAACAGGCCACACAGTGCTGGGCCAGTCACTAGAGCTCCACTCGGGTCAGGAGCCTGGGAGAAGCGCGACAACAGCAACAGTGCTGGCCCCTCCTGGCCCCAAGGCTCCTCAGCAGTGGCAGAGGGGACGCGGCCCAGTTTGCGCAGTGTGCGGGGTGTCGACATTGAGGGCTGGCCAGGGGTAGGGCTGACTGACTCAGATGGCTCTGGCATCGGACAACGCTCAGGAGACCAATCTGGGGAGATATCTCCAGGACCTGCTGCATAACCCTCAGAAATCAGCCACAACCTACAGAGGACAGGAGGAAAAAGAGTCTGAACCCAGAGCCAAGGTGAGGAAGCAGAATCCAAAAAGATGATTCTGAGTCACAAACTCAAGGCAAGCCTTGGAGAGTGAGATCCGGGACAGCCTGCTGAGATACTGTCTCAAAAAGGAAAAAAAAAAAAAGTAGATAGATGGGACGGAGAGAGGGAAGAAGGAGAAATTAAGGAAGAAAAAAGGGGACAGTTTACAGATGTGTAAACTGAGGTGGGGCCACACCTCATTCTGAACTTACGATGTGCCAAGTCCAGCTTCAGGGGCTCAAGAAAAGCAATGAACAAAACATGTTATTCCAGGGTTTATGATCTACTGAGGAGAAACAGCCCAAGCAAGTAAACCATGTGGTGTGACCAGGTACACTGTGTTTTATGCCTGTGATCCTGACCTTTGGGGCACTGATGCAGGAGGATGATAAGTTTAAGATCAGCCTAGTCTAATCCTTGTCCAAACAAAACAAAACAACCAACCCTTTCCTGGT